GGGGGGGTGGGGGGGGGGGTGTGAGGGGGGTTGAGGGGGGGGGGGGTGAGGGGTGGAGGGGGGTGTGGAGGGGGGTAGGGGGTGTGGGGGTGTGAGGGGGTGTGAGGGGGTGTTAGTGGGTGTGAGGGGGTGTGAGGGGGGGGGGGGGGGTGGGGGTGTGAGGGGGTGTTGGGGGGGCTGAGGGGGGGGGGTGGGGGGGGTGAGGGGGGGGGGGGGGGGGGCTGAGGGGGGGGGCTGAGGGGGGTGGGGGGGGTGAGGGGGTGGGGGGTGTGAGGGGGGGTTGAGGGGGTGTGAGGGGGGTGAGGGGGGGTGAGGGGGGTGTGAGGGGTGTGGGGGGGGGGTGTGGGGGGTGTGAGGGGTGGGGGGTGTGAGGGGTGGGGGGGTGAGGGTGTGAGGGGGTGTGAGGGGTGGGGGGTTGGGGGTGTGGGGGGTGTGAGGGGGGGTGTGGGGGGGCTGAGGGGGGGCTGAGGGGGGGGGGGGGGGTGAGGGGGGTGGGGGGGTGAGGGGGGGGCTGAGGGGGGTGGGGGGGTGAGGGGGGGTGGGGGCTGAGGGGGGTACAGGCCGCTGTGTACACTATGTACTGAGCGCTATGTCGGGGCTGTGCACTCACCGCGGCTCAGACTGACTGACAGACAGACTGACTGCCGGGAGGGGGTCACGTGTTAAACCTGCCGTAAAGGCGGCTTCTGTTTCCCTTTGCGACACCGTGACCAGCAAAAACAGCCCGACCCGACCCCCGGCCCCCGGACCCCCGGCCCGGCCCGGCCTGACCCCCCGCCCCGCCCCGCCCCGCCCCGGCCTCACACACACCCGGGCGGGCCTGGCGGGCGGGGCCGGGGCTGCCGTCACCCCCTCCCCCCGGGTCTCAGGTTGTTTTTATTTCCAGGGAGAGCTCCACGAGGCCTTAGCGGCCTCTCCCCCCCCCCGGCCCCGCCCCCGCCCCTCCCCCCGCCGCCGGGGCCACTGCACAGACAGCACAATGGCGGCCATGGACCGGGAGATGATTCTCGCTGATTTTCAGGTGCGATCTTTACCATTTAAAAGCCTTTCTGTGTGTCCTCCCCTCCGCCCCCTGTCCCTGCCCTCCTCGGGCCTCTTTTGCCCCGTGTCTCTCCCCCGCCATTGCCTCCTGTGTCGGGCGGCGGCGGCTCGGTGCGGTGCGGTGCGGCGCGGCGCGGCCCCGGGCCGCTCCTGTCATGTCCCCGGGTTTGTGTGACCGCAGTGATTCCCGGGGGTGTCGGGCTGTTAAGGCTACTCGCTCATTCCTGCCATTTTACTGTGAGATGGTGTGAGTGTGAGGGCGGAGGGAGGGAGAGAGAGAGAAAGGTTGGAGTGGAGGAACACAAATTATTTTTGTTTTGGTTCATAGGTTTGACTGGAATTTTCTCTATTGTCTCTCTCTCTCTCTCTCTCTCTCGCGGGTTTCAATAATAAAACCAACACCGCTCGTTTTTTTTAAAAAAGAAAGAAAACCCTCGACAGTCAACAGTTTATGAGTTGAAAGCAGCGGCTTAGTCATCATCACAGAGAAAAACACCGACAAAAGTCATCCACAGACTGGGAGTACAGTTCATCTGTGGATGATGACACATTACCTCTTATAATCTCTGTGCCCCTCTCTCTTCCCCCCCACCCGCCGCTGATCTGAGAGCAAGAAATTCGCTTTCAGCAATTTCTTGGTTTTAGTTTCTTGTACAGTAAACAGTTCTACAAATATTGTGGTTTGATCGTTGCTCAGTTTTGGCATGTAAACAATCCAATCAATACAGACTCCTAAATTTCAATCCCTGATTTATCAGTTGTGGAAAATCACTGCACCAGTTGCCCCACATTGATGGATTTGAATCATTGTCCGATAGCATTTGAGGAACATACTTTATTCTGTGATGAACTTGTTGTTTCATATTTTTAATTCATCACCATTTTGTTGGTCAGTCGGGTGTCTGACACGTGCGGAAACCCATCACATGTTTAAGAGTATCCAAACCAAGCTAAGATTTTTATGGATCCCACCAACACATGGAAATCCCAGAGTTAGATTGTTGGAATGGAATGCACTCTCTCTGGAGGAACACATTCTGTATACCTAATTCCAGAGAGTATTAGGCACAGGTTGGCAAGAACTAAGGCTTGGGGACCCCAGAGTGTGCATTGGGGTAACTGCTGGAGTTTAATTAGCTAAAACCAGATAGCTTGGCATTGATATTGCTGTCCAACAAACTTTCCCGCTGCTTGTCCAGATAGGCCACCCCACCGTTCGGGCTTTGGCTTGCAGGGTTAACGGGAGTTGAGTGTGATGACTCCCTCCCCCCAGTGACTGGTCTGCCCTTCCAGGAACTGCTGATGAGCCAGGCTGTGCAGTCATCAGCAGTGCCCTAGAGTACTCCGAACTTGCCTAACTCAGGAACCGAACTAGAGACCATCATACTAGGGCTGGCTCGATTCTGACATTCCATTGCCAGGCATGTCACCTCTTGCTTACTGCTACGCTAGTACATAATCCTGATGTTACATTACAGAGTTCAAAAATCTCCAGATCCAACCCATGATTCAAAGGAGAAAATCTACAACTAGCAGTACTGAATTCAATCTTCAAATAGAAGTGGTCTTTAGTTTTACCTGACCATTGTTACATTTTACTAAATTTCTAGTGGTAACACTGAGGTATAGTACAATGTTTATATTAGTGCTGTATGTTGTAATTTCCATGTTTGTGTTTACAAAATATTATTTTGTTTTGGGCTCTATCCCTATGTTCTGCAGCCTTTAATGTAAATGTTTACAGTAAATTAGAAATACATTTTAGAAATGAAATCCTGTTTATTACAAATGACGATATATGTTCTTAATATAATTTTTATTGCTTTAACTGGGATTTTACAGTCCTAATGTCCATGGTGCTGCAATTTTAACTTTTGAGCATACCTGGAAGGTGGCAGTTTCTGGCAATGTAGTATTTTACCTTGCAGTAAGTAGGAACCTGGTTATTAGTCAATTGGCAGATCGCTTTTCCGTGGGTAACAAACCTTTCAAAAAAAAAATAATAATTTGGTCACTCAATCCAAGACTGTTTCTGGGACACTACTGTGCACAATTGGCTGCCGCGTTTTGCTCACAAAATTTACAGTCAATACACTTTGAAGTATATTCTGAGAAGTGCTTTTAGATGTCTCGAAGACGTGATGAGGTGCTACATCAAATGTAAGTATTATTAGTTCCTCTCTTCACTCCTAAAAATGCTACTGTATGGTTCAAAGGATTTATATTTTCCGTTATCTTGCTTAATATCAATTCATATTTGTGCCCAATCTATCAGTGAGGACAGTGTGACATCACACTTGAGACTGATGCCATTCTCACCTGTTGTCCACACAAAAGCAAGTTGTAGAAGGAGAGGCTGGACAGCAATCCAGAGAGGCAACCGCGGCTGATTGTTTTGCTTCTTAGCCACTGCTTCTAATCCCAGTTGTAACAACCTCCCAGGAGGAAAGTTGATGGGCCTCTGGGTCCTTTACTCTCCTTTCCATCGAGGTATCTATGTAAATTCTACCACCGTCGTCTGATAGCAATTAATTCAGCCCACATCAGGGATTTAACCTGAAACCCTCTGGCTCTGTGTGACTCAATGTGAAATCCCATTAAAAAAAATGGTAAGTATATTAACATTTATTTGTGACATGCTGCATTTGGTCTATGGAAATATATTTCTGGTTTGATGTAAACATTTACATTTAACAATTGCATCATTCATATTTAGAAACCATGACAAAGTAATATTTTGCATTGGGTGCTTCCTTATTGGGAGTGAACTTTATTAATTGAGCTTTCAATGGAGCTGAAAGCATTTTATTGTCAAAGCTCGACAGCTGGATTGAAAAGCATCTGTGTGACGGACCAGTTGTACCATAAGTGACCAATATTGCATGATTCTCCCCCAAATTATTCCATGTATTCATTAAGAAATACTGTGAGTCAGTTTAGGTAATAGGATATTAATATATGTAATTAGCATATCTCTTAAGAATTTTAATTTTTCCTTGATTAGAATTGTATTTATGTGAAGGAAGTGAGAGTGAAGAGGAAATTAATGTGGAAATGTTCAAGTTACATAGGAAAGGGTACTTCCAGTTGTATCCGTTTGTAATATACTGACGTAGACCAATGAGGGAGAGTATTTTGCTAGGCATCCTCTGTGGGAAGTTTGAATAAATATCTTTGACGAAAAAAGTAACCAGGTGCTTGCTCAGGTTGAAGGCTGATTTGCAAATCTTAGTTACTTTCTTGGGTGTCTTCCAGTTTGTGGAAGGTGCAGTATTGGTTACCTTCCAAGATGCGAACCAGCATCAAGGCTGGCGGTATAAAGAGATTTCAGGAGAACATTGGTCATAGTGATTTTGGTAAAAACTTGCATATCTGTCATTTTATTGCATATTTGGTCATGTGTTCTGCATTTTCATTCAGCTTGTAAATATCTTCATTCAAATACTAAAGTAGGTGGTTAGGTTTGTGAACTGAGAATAAATATAGAATAGTTCAAATATTTCACAGGGGCGGTCTGCGACGAGCATAGAAATAAACATGTACTTGTCCCACACTGTGTGTGGAATTTAAATTTTTGTGTTTGTATACATTCCATATCGTTAATGAGGTATATTCAATGTTAATTAGTTTTGGACGTGAGAAGCATTTGTTTCTTTGAATACAGACGCATCTCATAATCAATCATACAATCTTGGAATCTGACCGTAACTATTTAACTACCCTTGCTAGGTGTGCCTAATAGGCTAATAATTTCAAACGATTATAATTCTACATACAATAACAACAGCAGCAAAATTACATTTGTATAGCGTCTTTCATGTCGGGAGGACGTCCCAAGGCGCTGGACAGTTACGGACCTGAGCTGAGGGTCTGGGTGGGGGAGGGTGGAGGGCAGGGATGGAGATTCAGCGGGTGGGTGCAGAGTCGAACCTCGATGTAATAAAGGCGTGTATGAGGGTCTCGGGGGCCTGCGGTGTGAGACAGTGGCAGAGCCGGGTGAGGTTGCGGAGGTGGGGAAGGCAGAGCGGGTCATGGCACAGATGTGGGGTAGAAAGGATAGTTGAGGGTCCAAGGTTCCGGACTGGGTTAGTGAGGTGGAGTGTGCGGCCAGAGATGGTGATGCTGTCAGCGCCTGAGGTGAGGAGGTGCTGACGGGAGCCAATCAGGAACCTCGGTCTTGTTGATGTTCAACTGAAGAAAGTTCACTCTCATCCAGGACTTGATGTCTGACAGACAGTCTGTCAGGACAGCAATGGTCCTGGAGTCAAGGGTGGAGGCAGAGGTAGAGTTGGGTGTCATCCGCAGTGGTCCTGGAGTCAAGGAATTAATCTGTCCATGTGCTGTGGTACCAAGGTTTCTTCAGAAACAAACTAAAAGGACACTACCACACTGACCATAAGGTTGCAGACTAGGATAAGGTCCTGAATTTATTGACATTCAACATGCTGTTGGCACAATATTTTACAGAATCAAAGTGAATGTCACAATAGGTATTTTGCCCGTTTAAAGCCACTCAGTCCATTTAAATCTGTTTTCAGATTTTAGGCTCAAAGTACCAAAGTAATGCTTTGTTTTTTTACACGTGACTTTTCACTTTCCAATTGAACTTTGTGTTTCTGTGACTCTCTTCCTGCCCAGACTTGCCCTTCCAAACAGAATGCAAATAATGAGAAATGACATTTCAATGTTTTGATGAGCAGATTCTGATCTATATAGGAAACATTTTTATAAAGACATTTGAGGTAAATTAATTTTATCTTTATTTTCACGTTTAATGAGGATGCCTTGTCAGACTAAGACTGTAGTTTTGTTTGTCTACTTGGCACATGTGCAAAGTCTTCATGTGCAGCAGTCTACAGGTATTCAATTCAAAACTGGCCTTGAAGAGCTGCTCTCCCAATTTGTTATTGAACAGAATGTTAGTCTGTCAATGACCAGGCTGCTGCATTGGTTTAAAATGGTCGATGATTTAAAGGTAAT